TCCTGGCGGCCAGAGGCTGGCTGGAGTGCTCTGCGCTCCTGCCTGTGATGGGGCAGGTGACCCGGTGACGGGCTGGGGGTGGTCTCCCGCCAAACCAGCTGGGGGGGCAGAGGAGCCATCAGGCTGGCCCCTAGCTCCCATTCTCCCAGGGGCCCTGGTTATGGGTCTGGGGACCCCCTGGCTTTCGTCCCTGGGCTCTCACCTTGAGCGGGTTGGGGGAGGGCTGTGGGGAGCACTGGAGCGCCCCCTGGGGCTGCACGGCTAGGATGTAGAGGAGGTCTTCTGCCCGGGACTGGCCCGGCAGGTGCAGGACGATGCGCAGGTCGCGGACAGCGCCAGGGCCTCTGTTGTAGAGCTGGAGAGTCAGACGGGGGTGGGAGGGTGAGGGGGCGCTCAGACGCACGCTGGGGCCCTCCCTGCCCAGCTTGCAGCCCACAGGCTCCCCCTCACCTCGTAGGTGTGCTCCACTTTGGGTCCCCAGTGGTCTGAACCCTTCTCCCTGCCATCGTCCTTGGCCACCACCACCAGGGAGGCTGGAAAGGAGTTCCTGTAGGTCCCCCCACACCCACCCCAGAGTGAGTTTGACACCCTCATTAGCCTGGGTGGCCCCCAAGGCCAGGGCCCTGCCTGCCACCCGCCTTATCCAGCCTTGGGCTCTCTCTCACCCTCGCAGCTCCACCCAGGCCGCGGCCAGGACTGGCGCTTTCAGCAGCACCAGCTCGCTGTTAGGGTTCTGGCTGTTTTTGCTGGAGGGGAGGGCCAAAGGAGAGGCAGGTGAGGGGCCCTAGCTTAGTATAGAATATCAGGGGAGTCAACAACTTTCAGAAAAACTCACCACCACCGAGTCAGTCTCCACTCATCTCTACCCTCTAAGACAGAGGAGAAGGGCCCCTGTGGGTTTCCGAGACTGTAACTCTTTACAGGAGTAGAAAGCCTCATCTTTCTCCCGAGGAGCAGCCGGTGGTTTGGAACTGCTGACCTTGTGGTTAGCACCCCAATGTGTAACCCACTACGCCGCCAGTGCTATTACCAGGGAATCTAGGGCAAGTTAATTCTATAAACAGCATGTCATACTGCAGGTAGACCTGGGAAAGAACTTCCTCTCAGCTTCTAAGCCTCAGAAAGTCGTCTCTGGGGAAGGCAGGGAGCAAGGAGGCCTGAAGAACAGGCATCTCGGTAAGACATCCATCTTGAGAGCATATGAGGGTCTCTAAACAGGGGCTAGGCAGGGGGAGGGGGGCCAAGGCAAGAGTACCTTCTGATCTGCAGCCGGAAGGACACAGACTCCCCAGCCTCTTCCAGGTTCCCCACACTCACCAACATCCTGATTTCTAGCTGGATCACATGAGGGCCAAAGTCACTGCCCAAATGGCCCCTTCTGGCAGCACCCCCGCACCCCAAATGGTCTCCAGTCCTTCCCTCCCATGGTTTGCATAAGTATCCATTTTACCCAGAAGCCCCCTCACTGACTCAGGAGCATGTAGCTAAGGAGTATGAAGCTACCTCAGATCAACCCCACCCATAGTGGGAGCCCCAAAATCCGGCTGTCTGTGCAGAGCCCATGGGAAGAGGCAGCGTGGCCTCCGCTCTCACCCGGGCGTCCTTCCTCATGGGGTTTCCCAGCTCACACACCACCGCCTTGCTCTCGTTCTCCTTCCTCGGGTTACAGGAGAGCCTTTCCAACCCCTGGGAGAGGCGGTGTCCAGAGAAGGTGGTTACCGGGTGCCCTGGGAAAGTAAGTCTGCCAAGAGCTGCAGGCTGGGGTGCAGAGCGGGGTTGGTCTCTTGGGGTGGGAGGTCCAGGGACTGTCTTGTTCTACTTTATGTACTGCGTGAGCAATTTGTCCTTTTTT